GCTGCCATTCGAGTGCGGGCCTCAATGCTGTCACAGAAAACCTTCGTGTGTGTGGAACCGAGCTTCAGTATTTCGTCACCTAAAGCTGAGTCTGGTGGCTCACCACAGCTGTAAATTTAATCCATAACCATGGGCCTTATTGCTGAGATCTGGTGCTCTAGAAAATGAGTTTCCAAATACTTAAGCAATTATCCTGAGCAGCTTTATTTTCCAGGCACTGTGAATACCATAAGTGCACTCTTCGTTATCTTCCTGAAGCATAGCCAGGAGTGTGGATCAAAAGATGACAAGATCAGCAACCCTCAAAACGGGTGAAATGTGCAAGTTGCAGTTGTGAGAGTTTGGTGGTGCTGAGCACCAGTGGTTGCTCTATGGTGTAATTCCCAGCTGGCAGCCTGAGATTCTGCTCACTGGAATTGCCCACCTTGTCTCTGCTCTGCCAGTGCAGGCACTTTGGTCAAAATGGGGCCACTGGGCTCCGTCTCTGGAGAAGCTGCATTAAAAATTTGTCCCGTTCTCACTCTCAAGCAACCCATTGACAGCCATACAATTCATGCTACGCCTAAAAACCACTGACATCCTCAAAAGTTCTTACTGTCTTTGCCAGAAAAATAAAACATAACCCAACTTGTTCCTGTAAGGAGACCAGCAGCATCCATGTAACACCTTGGCTGAAAGAATCAACTCTCTATTATTTGCTCTATTAATTGTGGTTTATTTAGATGTTGGATTTAATTCTCTAAGAAGAAAGAGGATATTTTTTCCTCTGTACTTTTTTGAATGGTGTGCCCACAACCAGGGTTGCCCAACAGTTTGGCAGCACCTGCCAGGCTAAGTAACAAAGGTCTTGGTGCTGGTGTAGAGGAGAATGCTGGAGTTAGCTCCATTGGCTCCCTGGAGGACATTACTGCTCTTCAGCTGATGCGGAGGCATGGGAAATTGCCTTCGTACACGGTCCAGTGCCTTGACACTGGTCACCATCTCTCAGCCATCCCTGTCGATGTGGCACCCCCTGCGTAGTGGCCAATGGTCACAACACCAGGAAGGCAGCTCACCAGGCAGGAGAGCAGTTGACTCTAGTGTTAACCTTGCAACCTGACTATGCTCAGCTTGACTGACTACCTATCTGTTGGAACAGAGCACAGGGCTTGCCACTGGCAGCGGCAGAAAGGCTTTAGGCTCAGTTTATTCCCCCTATAACTACATCCATAGGGATTTCTGAAGGACTCCCTACTGTTAGTCTAAGCAGGGGCTCCGAAAGGAATCTCTCTTGCCCCTGCATGATTGATCCTATGCAGCAGAAAGGGGTAAAGCTTTTGAGGCATCTGTTCCCACCTCCCAGGCTCACAGCCTCCTTTGAGAGACCCAGTAGTGGTGATGGATAGAAAACCAATAATAAACTCTGCCTCTTTCAGGAAAGTGTGTGCAGCTATGCAAAATATTTGCAATACTGACAGGCCCGGAAGTGAGCTTCAACACCAGACCTGTAATTGTCCAGGCTGCCTAATTGCTAGCTAGCTCCCTGGCTCTGTTTTGCAACTGCTTCTAATTAATCCTCTTTATGACAATGTCCAGGGGTATTATTTCAATGACAGTTCACTCCAAAGAGAGCTCCTAAGAGAGCAGCGTGGATTTGCGGAACCCTCCGCTCAAGATAGGACTCCAATACTAAAAAAAAAAAAAAAAAATCGCCATGAGGGTGATTAAGCACTGGAATGTATTGCCCACAAAGGTCTGTGAAATCCCCTTCCATAGAGATTCTCACAGCTTGGCTGAGCAAGACCTTCAGTGCTGATCCAGCTTTGAAGTTAGACCTGCTTTGAGCAGATGGTTGGGCTAGCTGACCTCTAGCAGTCCCTTCCAACCAACATTTTGCCATGATTCATCAGGCTTTGAACCCTCAAGTACCCTCAGCTGCTCACAACGCTGCATCACGGGGTCTGAGATAGACACACTCATGTTCATGAAACAGAAACCACTGCCTTGGTGAAGTGTAGCACGGCGTTGACCATCAGGAACTTGGAAACAGAAAAAAAAAGGTCCCATGTTTGGGCCACAGGACTACCACAGAGTCGAGAAGAGACCTGTAGCTGCACAGCACAAACAGGGCCACTGCGTCGGGGAGGGATGTAACCTCAGGCAGTGTGGATGTGAGCCAGGTCCTGCCGTTTAGTCTCAGGCTTAGGGACCCTTCCTGACTCTTTGAGCAGTAAGGCTGTGCACACATAGGCTGAGGGAAAAGACGTACAGTCAGTGTAATGTGAAAAACCTAGAAGAAGAAATTAATTACAATTTAAAGGAAGCATTGCTGAGGATGGTCTGCTGAATCCATGGCACTGTGCAAAATCCCAGCAGTGCCACCATCCTAGTTAAGTAAATGGTTTTGGGGGACATTTTAAGCTTTTCTAGTCTTTAACGCAGTCAGGACTGCATTCAGTTACTCAATTGTTATGGTATTCAATAACTACTGTCCTGGTTTCACTGGGATAGAATCATAGAATCAATTTTCTGTTCAGAGAAGTTACCTTTCTAAAGTAAGCTGCATTTTCAGAAAGACTGCAGCACCCGATTCAGTGGGAACAGAGTTGATAAGACGCTTTGTTTTAGTTTGTAGCCAGCTGTGGTATGCACGTATCTGTAGTGCTCAAGGACTTTCCATCTTGTTTTTTGCTAACGACGCAGACATCCAAGAACCTGAGGGGAGCATGGCCAGGGAGACTGATACCTAAATTGGCAAATGGGTATTCCATACTATGTAACATCATGCTCACTATAAACTGGAAAATTTGATGGGGATGGGCTCTCTTTACCCCGTTGTCACTTTTGCTCTCTCTTTCTCAGTGGCCACTGTCCCTGGAGAGTCTCGCTCGTGATTCTGCTCTGAGTCTCTCTCTCTTCCAGGACTGCAGTTTCGGGACTTTCCTGCTCTGGGATCGCTGGCCAGGAACAGGCTGGACATTGGCTAAGGGGTAGTGAGCAGCAACACCATACATCACTTATCTGTATATATTATTATACATTATTGTTATAATTTTAATTTTAATTTTTATTTCAATTATTAAATAGTTCTTATCTCAACCCATGGGTCTTACTTCCTTTTGCTGATTCCCTTCTCAAGTGGTGTGCCCCACATTGGGCACCACATAAACAGTCTACATTTAGCTTGTATCTGGGGCTAAGCAATAGCCAGCTGTTCTATTATCAAGTGACCCCTCCCTACTCAACAAGCGGAATCAGGGAAAGGAAAGAAGACGTACGGTGATGTACCGTGTGGCAGCTCACCACTCCTTGGCCAATATCCAGGGACAGCGGCCATTGAGAAAGAGAAAGTGAGAGAAACAAGAGAGGGTGAAAAGAGCCCATCCTCAACAAACTTTCCAATTAATAGTGAGCGTGATGTTACATGGTGTGGAATACCCATTTGCCAATTCAGGTGTAAGTCTCCCTGGCCGCGCTCCCCGCAGGTTCTTGGACGTCTGGGTCAGTAGCAAAAAACAAGCTGGAAAGTCCTTGAGCACTACAGATGCCTACATGAAGAATGCTGATCTTTATGAAACAAACTGAAGTTTCTTTCATGAACCTAAGAACTAACTACAGTGGGATATTCAAGAAAGGCATATGTCTCTTTTAAATGAGGATAATAAGGAAGCATTTACACACAGTCACAGGTAAAAGCATAGGGAACCAAGAGACGTTGTTGCTTTTCCACCCTTCTCAAATACTCATTTATAAGAGAGGTGATACAAGGTTTAATAACATAGCCTTTATTGATGACACTGGAAAGCAGATGTTTTAAAGAAAACTAATTTTTCATAAACAGGAAATAAAATTTTACTTCCTATGATGTAATTACACAAAATCTGTTTTAAGTCACTAATACAAAAAAAATACATATGTTTGCGTACTTCGTAATGTAGTACCATCAAGAAGTTCTAAGTAACTGTATTTTCTCTAAGAAAGGGAAAAATAAAACCGACTTGCACGGACAGAAGTCAATAGTATAAAACAATTAAATGTATGTCATAAGGAGTTCTGATTTGTGAGCTCATTTCTTGAGGATGGCTAAAGAAATAGATCCTAGCAGGATCAAACCTTGTACATTTACACTGACAGGTGTAAAAGTAGTATTGCCAGTTAATTGAAATAAGCATTTTCAGTATTGTTCTGAAAATTAATGAAGTCTAGAGGCTAAATTTTAAGATCAGGTGTTCACATTTGAAATAAAATACTTCTCGCATACTGCATAATTAAGGCAAAGTATGTTATCTTTTGAAAATACCTTGTATATAGTTTCTGCATAAAAATATGAAATAAAAAATAAAACTATATATATATTTAATGGAACACTGTTATGTATGGTCCAGCAGAATAAGGCACAAAAAGTAAATAGAATGCAAAAGCATATATAAAAGTTAATGTGTTATTTTGAGTGGAATATTGCAAAATTCAAGTAGTTCTGAGTATGCTCATTTCTTGCAATAGGAATATATATTTTATATAGATATTTCATGCTAAGCCTGATGTACAAAGATTCATCATGTAAGCATAATCTATCAGAAGTAGGTCATCTGTACAGTGACTGTATTTAGAAATCTGATACTTTCCAAGCCATCTGGAACAAGGCTCCTTTAATGAGACGACTTGGCCTGAAATCCAAGCGTGAATTTTTCCATGAGGCAAAGTATGTTGGTTTCTTGCCCAAGTCACTTGACTTGGGCAAGTTTTGTGTGCATGCTTAATTTGAAGGGTACTACTTTCACTAATATAAATGACAATACATACCCCTACAGCTGGACATGTCTGCACAGTTTGTTTTCGCAGGCACCGATGAGCAAATTTCGTCAGAGATTTTGTAAATTTCTGCAGAGATTACTGTGCAGAATGGGCCGCTTGCACCAGTTCAACTGCGTCACCAGGGTCAGAAACCTTTCAGGAGAGTTAGTATTTAATTTAGTTTAGAAGTGTGGTCTGTTTATCATCAAATAAGCACACATGTATAGAGAACAGAGAATGCTAAGGTATTTCGATCTGATAGAAGGCATACATCGTCGTTTGGTGTCTGACTGCAGCCTCAACGCAGCCCCCAGCCTCCAAGTATATATATAAAATTTTCACAAAGGAAGGGGAAAGCAGATGAAGTCTTTACTTCCTTCCCAAAGTTTCAGCTAGTTTCTTCAGTCGTTTCTTCAGCTCCAGAGGAAACTTCTCATAACACTTTTTGCAGACAGGCTTCATATCAAACTCAACAAATTTATTCCTAAAACAACAAAGCAAAAACCAGACAAAGTTTTAACAGCAGGGATGGTGAAAAAAAGATTTTTAAAAAGTATCCTGTTAAACGTGCACAGGTAAATTACAACTGCCATTTATACATATAAATATAAAGTTACTTTTACAAGCTTATATACTGAAGACAGTAATTACAGTACCCTGTTGAGCAAGCTATGCAGTTTTTACTAAAATGCCATGCTTATCAACTGTGTCGTTTAAAAAGCCTTTCAAACCTAACTGTAGAGCTAAACAGACTAAACATAAGATAACAGAATAACAAGTTAATATTTCAAGTTGTAGTTTGCAGTTGTGTGAAAAATATTTTGGTTTTGATTGCCATAAATTCATGCAAAAATTTAAAATAAAAGCACCCTTAGCACTGACCAAAGAAGAAAGGAGCAGAGGTGGTGGAGAGAAGGAAAAAAAAGTTTACAAACAGATTGGCTTTTTCTTTTTCTGCTTCTCTTTATCCTTTGCTTCACGTTCCCGTTTGGCAAGCCGTCGCTTAAACTCATCTGGCATTTTCTCGTAACAGTGTTTGCAGACAGGTTTTAGATCAATTTCAACAAACTTATCCCTTTAGAGTTTAACACAGAAAAAACAGAGGACAGAAAAGGAGAAAAGTTAAGAAGACTAACTGAAGTAAGACCTGAATAGACAGCTGGAAGAGATGGCAAGGAAGAAAGATGCACATATTTTCTCAATGCTGTTTATATAGTTTTTCATACCATCACAGTCACACTATAGCAACATCTACACTTTGAAGATAACCACTGATGCTTCTGAAGGCATCACACTTGTCAATAAACTTACTTGAGTGTTAACTTAGTGTTGCAAGTTGAGCAAGCGAAACAGTTCACGCACCACGCCTTATTCAGAGCAGACACAACTAGGGTGATGGGAAAAAAAAGGAAACTATTAGCATTACAGGAAGAAAAAAAAAAGTATTACAAAAATTTTAAGCTCACACATTTGTGAGGCATGAACAGTCATTTGATTCTCGTATCAAGTGTTAAGGACTGTAACAATAACGTGGTAAGACTAGGAAGGCACAGGTGAGTGTAGTGTAGCAGGACTGTGAAGCCTTGATAAAGCTGTCTCTTGAGGGTACACACAACTCCGTGTTCACCAGCAAGACCAGTTTAACCTATTTCTGCCTCCTGTTACCTGCCTCCACCTCAGCTCATAGCATGCTGACCTCAGGCAGCTGTTTTATGAGGCTGTGCTTCCAACTTAATCAGGAGACTTTTTCGGCTGAAAAGCAATCCAGCAAGGAGGAGTTTATGTTTTCATTCCGTTTCATTTCTCAGCTCCTGTGCAGACTGCAGGGCCACCAACAGTAGCACCTGCCTGGCCAAAGAATATAACGTGAAGCCAGCAGTCAGGACACTGCTGGTAAACCAGAACTACTAAGGTGAAAAAATTTATGGACTTGTGGAATAACTTGCTTGATCAAGACAAACTTGGATATATTTTTACTCTTTGCTTTGGAGAGAAAGTAACTATTTTCTCTTTGTTCTGTATCTCAATCCGTTTTCTCTTCTTCCCTCTTTCAATCTACCTTTCCACTGTTCCCTGCCAAAATTTGCCTCTCTTCTTAATCTAAGTTAGAAGATGCAGGACAATGGTTTTCTCATAAAATACAGCATTTGGTCAACAACAAACAGAACCAGAACATTGTCGTGCAGAGCCTTTTTTCCTGCACTATGGGGCAAGCACATCCACAGAAGCATAGTTATTCCACTGCTTGCCAAAATACTACTAGTCAGATGAAAGTCTTCACTCCCAAGCAACCTCTGGAATATAGTCACAGACACTCTCCTGAAAAACTGCTACCACAGATGGTTGTTTCACCAGACAGAGGGAAACAATATTGGATACTCATAACTTGTGACAGCGGTATCAAATTTGTGAAAATGAAATGAAAGAAGAAATGTAACTGAAGATGTATCTTGAAAATAAAGAAATTACTGCATTACACTGTATTCTGTTCAGTTCAGAGACCAAAACATACACTATGGGTGTCAGATTCTATGGTGCAAGGTTAGAACATAGAGATGCAGTTATCAGACAAGGCTGAATTTATCATTCACCTCAAGTTCAAGTTCTGCTCATTCTAGGAGGGTTTTACTGAAGAGGAGGACACTCTTTTCTCCAAAGTGTTTTGGATTGTTGTTCTGCAGGTATAGTCCAGTCCAGAAAATGTGGGGAAAGCACATCTCTGGAATGTAGGTCTCACCCTATAGTTACATGACTATAAACTAGTTTATGTCTCTTTTTACACGCTAGAGGCTTCCTCCCACTTTGCTAATAGCTTTGGCTTAGGTGAGGCTAACACTGGTATTATAGTATTTACTTTGGGCAGGGGTAAACAGGTACATAATGTTGCACTGTTTCAGGTAGAATAATTTGCTTTCAGCATTTTATCATAGCTGGTTGTTCAAAAATCCCTCAACCACCCAACCTGCCCCCCCCCCCCCAAAAAAAAACACTCCAACAACCCAACAACAAAAAGCCAAACTTAAACAACTTCCTTCCAGTTCTGCCTTTAAAGGACACATCTTTCCAAGTATGATCTTTCGTATTTTTGTGACATTATCATCAGCCTAGATTTTCAAAAGACAGGTGCCTGCAATAGATAGGTATCTCTAGGAACCAAACTGACATAATGGGTTTTTTAAAAATCTCTTCGAGTGCCCACTCATGTCTTTCAATATCTAAATACTTTTTCAAATTCGGTTCATGATCTCTAAATTTGTTGAGGAGATGCCTGTGTGGTCATCCTCACCCTTGCCTGTGTTATTTTTTGAAGTCGGTGGGGCAGGAAGCCACCTCTGTGCATCTCCCAGCATCCCTGGCCTTTGCATGTTACTAAAGGGTTTCCAGTTGACCATGGTTCTCTTTGGTCACTGAGTGGTCTTCCACATCATCATGAAACACCAGTTTCTGCTGACTAACCAGCTCTAACCTGATTTCTGATAAAGAGAAGGGCTGGTTTTGTTTTAATGAGAACAATCAAGGATTCAACAGGGAGCTGCTTTCCTCTTCCACTTTTAAAGAGAACTCACATCAGAAAGGAACATTAAAGAAACAGTTAGAAATGTGCTTACCATCTCCTTCAATCACACGGTTGCAATGGAAACAAACATCACCGAATAGCTGAAGATGAAAAAGAAGTAAGGTATTTTTAAAGTAATGATTTTATCGAGGGTAACTTCTCAAACTAACAAAAATCAGTTTCAGCTGATGAGCACAATAGCTTTCCTATTTATTTCAGTAAAATAAAATGCTGGCAAGTCTGGTTTGGTTTTGAAGTACATTTTGCATCATGTCATCACAAAGTCTTTACAATATTAAAGATGAAAACGTTCGTTTACATCTGATCCTCTGTAAATACGATTTTATTTTGGTTTAACATTTCTCTAATCCTGAACATCTGAAATACAGCAGTCGGTGTCACATACACATCATTACTCATCAGCCAGTTTAACATTTGGACTTACATGCATGAGTAGAAAAATATATTGCTGTTTCTGGCAAAAACTGTAAGGAAATGTACTTTTATTTAAACAAAAAAAAAAGGACAATTTAGGCCAAAAATTATTCATTCTATTTCTAGGCTTAACATTTGTCTGCAAAGTAACAATTAAGAAGTTCCCGAAACTTTATGTATTTTTTCTGACTGTAGTAGTTAACCTAGTAAAAGACATCCACCCTACACACAGCTTTTGTCTGGTATACGTACTTGCCCCATCGTGGCTGCAACACTGTTACTACTAATGTCATGGCATTTATTTTCCACAAGTATGCCAGCAACATTTCAATCATCTGCCCTTCATCACTGACAAATTAAGAATCCATCTGTAATTAGCAGATGCCTTACAACTCCCAACTGTAACCCCTAGTCTTGTATTTATACAAGCGAAGAGGTGGACGTGACACAACGCAGATGGCTTCCAAACAAAAAAGGTCTACACATCGTGGTGCTGGACTACACGATCAAGGGAGTCCGGAGAGAGGTGACAGCACGGTATATAACTCCTATACGGGTGCAAGTGGTCACTAGGTGGTGTTCTCTGACAAATTTAGTCCTCACAGCCTTCAGCAACCTAATGAATGAGCTGGGTGATGCAGCATACGCTAACACACAGTCATCTTAGAGTAGCAGCTGAGTAGGGAAAACCACGCTACTCAGCAGGGCCTCGTCTTAAACCGCAGCTACCGAGTGGCAAATCTTCTTTAGCTTCTTGGGAAAGATGGGGTGTCACTAACTGCTCTGATCTCACAGACGTGTAAAAAGCTCCTAACAGCTCTACTTAAGTACCACGAAGCTTGAAGAACACCTCGATACTGATCGTCCTGGCTAGCCTTTGTGAAATACCTGCAGTTTTCTTTCTCAACACCAGACCGATGTATAGAGAAAATCGTATAAATTAACTGCAACGGAACATCTGCTAATTGGCATTACACCCACATGTGCCTATAAGAAAACAGAAGAATGTCCATGGGTTCCCATCTCTATCTAATAAAACCAATCCATCAGTTTACCAATTAATGCCACTAAAAATATGCAACCTTACCTGATTGTAGTGGGTTTCACAATACGCCAAGCCTTTTCTCTCATAATGACGATGACCCAGGAATGGTTTTTCACATTTTGCACAAACAAAATGCTACAAAGAAAATTACATACATTTTTTGGATTACTTGGATGTAACGGTATTTTTTTTGGAAAGCATACCAACTAAGCGCAGTACTGAACATGACTGAAGTGTACTGAGCTAGCTGTGCCATCTTGAAAAGGAAAGTTAAAACTTTTTTGCTTCTACATTTAGACAATTAAAATAATGCTCCTTTTAATGTCTTCAACATTTCAATCCACAAGTTATCAAAAAAAAAAATCAAGCGAAGGGGTGTTGATATGTTATCAGTGAACAGAATGAAGAAATTTTAAATAATTTACACCAACATTACGTGCTTATGAAGAAAGCATTTGCTGCAGATTTTCAAAACAACAAAAGGAATAGACTGTTTATCTTCCTAAATCTTGTATATGGCCCTGAAATACAAACCCTCACATAAAGTGCTTTAGAGATGTTTACATGGCAGGTGACTATGGAAGACATAAGGGTATTATGATGCTTAGTAATATTATGGCTGCTACAGAATTTTACTACTTTTCCACATGTACTGTTTGCACACTGAAAGTTCCTTCTATAAGGACCTCACAGAGCTTCCTTTGATTACTGATTTTAGCTTCATAGTCAAAGCTCTGTTTCAGGTAGGAGATAACTCCTATTTCACAGCGGAATACCAGCCACAGGAAGGGATTAGGAGAAGGCACTTACTAATCATTGCTGCATATGCTAATCTTTTCATTGAAATTGATCAGCAAAGTCTCAGGTAAGTATGTTAATGTTGACGTGTGGAAAAGACAAGGTATCATCTGATGTTTACCTCCACATGCCACTGTTTGCCCATAGCATTCACCACACGGCCTTCAATTGGTCTTCTACATGCCCCACAGATGGGGACACCCATTTTGTCATGGCAGGGTAGGCAGTATAATTCTCCCTTCAACTCACGAGCATCAGCAGTAAGTTCCTTTCTGTTCAAAAGTTAATGAATCGAGAACATGAATAAAGGCACTGAACAATGTCAACTCTTGAGAGTTTGTGAAAAGAAAAAAAAACTTTTAGCATTAATTGTAGAAACTGTATTTGTACTACAGTAATGCAGCAGCATCAAATACGACATAGTTCAACATAGTTTGAGACCAACCAAGTCCACAGTAAACTGAGAACAAGCTGCTAAGCAAGATGCACTAAGCCTTTCTGAAAACAAGGGCTGAGCTATTGTCATTTTGCATTCTGGTTATGTAGCACAAATGCATGTGTGCAAGCTGTAGACATGTTTGTGTTACATTCTGGCACCCTTATCACCAGTTTATTTTACATTTGCGTAACTGTAACTGAAAGTACAATGTAGTCCTCTACATCTAGGTCCATTTTCCCCACTTGTTTCAAACTTCAGAGAAAGAAAACTACAGACCCACATGAGCTAGCTATGTTTATTCATTGCCAATTGCAGAATCTCATATACTCTACTTTTTAGTAATTTGCATGGTTAGAATACTAAGAACAGCTAAACTTTAAACATGACTGTACTCACTAATGCTCTCAACTGGTTGCCACTGACACAATACCACATTGTTATTCAAATCAGCCTTTGCAATGGCACTGAAATGATGGCTTCCTTTGCACCAGAAATAACAACTAATAATCCGTGCTGTAGCCTACAATGTCCTGTGATCTGTGCATCAGTGCAGAAATGTGCTGCTTCGTATTCTGCAGTTGCAGAAGCTGATAAAATGAGGTGGGAGAAAGCTCCTAAGATAGGCTTTAAAAGCAGAGAAAAAAGTTTGCATGCAACTCAACTAAAAAGAAATAACATAGGCAAGAGAATAATTCAAGCAGCCAAAAAAGATAACTTTTTTTTCCTTTTGTAGCAGAATAACAAGCTATTATATTGCAGCTACATAAATCATTATCTGTGTCCATATTTTAAGGTACCACCTTGTCCTGCAGAGTCCAACCTCTCATTACTCCCCAACAAGTCAGCTGCTGTTTGAACTAAAGGCCCAACTCCACCATCCCAAAGGGCAGCAACACACATCTGGCTGCAAGGCACCCAAACCCCACCCCTCTTGTCGGTTGTACAGGACAGGTTTTCACTTTAAAAGGAAACTCAATGAAGCAAATAAACCCAACATTTTCCTGTTTTCCTTTGCAGAACTCAAGTTACCCGCAGTTTGCACAGTTGAAATGATCAGGGTGATAAGGATCATTTTTGAATATGAGAGGCTGTTCGTCAATAATGGCATGACACTTCTGGCAAATGTACTTTCCCAGGCCTCTGGCTTTTTCCCTGTTATGGCAAGGACGGCAAAGATGTCTGCAAAAGCATAAAAAAGAAGGGTAAGTACTATACCAGGTACTACAGTGCAAAATATAAACCAAAAATCTTTTAGAACCTCATTTCAATCACCCCTTTTAGGAGGGAAAATAGTCTTTAAAACAATTTCCTTGCTAGGCAGACCAAGTTCAGAAGGAGCAGGGTGATCATTTTATTTGCTGTCACCACAGGAGTATTATTTCTTCAGCTCACTTGAATTTAAGCTGTGTTGAAACACAGAAAATAAAGTTCACTACACATTCTCATTGCCAAATGTTTTACTCTCAAAGTCTTAAAAATGTAGATTGGAAGCTGGATGAGCACACGGATCCTAATTCTGGAGATAACTCTGAATATCATATTATACATATGAAGCCAATGGCCATAGAATCCACTTGTTAAACATTCTTGTGATCACAGCTGGTAAAAATATCCTACGCTGTGAAGTGTCTCACTGAATTTAAAGCAATTATTAATAAATAAGGTGCTACACTAGACCAAAATTGGAAACCTAAGTTGGAAAAAGAAACTAAAAACTGGTATTAAAAATATAAAGACAATGCTTCTGTATCTGAATATCTTCTCTCTTTTTATGTATCATGATGGCCCCAAAATGTTACTAGGTAGAGAACATACTTGCTGAGAAATCTGGTGTTGAAGTAGGTAAACTGTTAATATTTTACATATATATTTTAAGATACCCATTCTTAGCTTTGTGATGCACTCTTAGACCTCTTCCCCACAAAAGACGCTTCAGTTGCTCCACCTCAGCTGGAATGCTTCAGAAACCAAAACCTCTCAGTCCTTCCTCTCAGTTCATTTTATTCATGATCAGTAACAGAAGGAAGGGTGAAGATCTACCTGCCAGCATTCTTGACAAATCCGACATCGGCCAATACTTGTTGGCAGATGTCACAGCAGAAGCACTCTGGATGCCAGCTATTGTTCATAGCTTTAATAACACGACCAATAATGAATTCACCTGTAAGAAACACAACATCAGGATGTAAAATACCATGCTAGACAAAGTTAAAATCAACCCACAACTGAATTGCTACAATGTCATCATCCTCTTACTCCCCACTAAATCTGGTAGGATATATTGCTTTCAGTATCAGTTCTGGCTCTAAACACTGGAATTTGGGTTTGTTTGGTTTTTTTTGCTATGGGTCAGAAGAAACATCCTTGCTGATGGAGGACTTTCTGTTCTTTACATACAAGCTCTTCTACATGCACAATCCACCTTTTTCTGCAACCATCCTTTTTCAGTTCCTTCCCTGTTTTTACTTATCTGTTCTCAAGCCGTTAATATATGGAGTTCTTTATATAATACGGTTTTCTTGTGTCCTAATCACCTTTCTCCTTCTTTCCTTTTAGAAGACAACAATTTAACTTGTCGTGTACATAGTAGTGGTTTCTACTCGACTAGGACCAAGCCTTGAAGGGGCTCAATATTCAAAGCACAACAGGACTGAGCTTGAGTGGCTGTGGACCTCCTGCAAAAAAACCGCCACGGAGTCAAAACACAGGCACAGTGAAGCTGCAGAACAGTCAATCCCACACACACAACTTCTGACCTACCACCAGGAGTCCTGTCCTGCAAGGCATTCAAAAAAAGAGTGTAAGAACTACTGTTCTGCACGCATGGTGTCACTGCACTGTGCCAGCAGTGAAGCCATGTCCACCACACACGTGATGTAGTCATTCTCTATGTGGATGTTGTAGCCAACGTCCTTGAGCAGCACAGAGGCTCTGCCTAAAACGCACTGGGAGCTCAGCTTCCCACTGCCGTGGGAGGCTAAGTCCTGGCTCTGGAGAGTGTACCACTCAAACAGCTGCCAAAGGGGAGCAGCTGGGCAGTAACAGACAGACAATAACATCTAGTGTGCGACTGTGTGGCACTCCCATGAAGTCATAGCTTTTCAAGAACAAAACTCAGTAGACTCAAGAAATGTTGGGAATGCTCGAGGTCTCATCACTGACAACAGCCCCGTCGATTTTGCCCACGTTCACTAAATCCAAGCAGTGGCAAGGCCCAGATCCATGCAGGACCCCAATGGGGTTTTAAGAGAGCTGGTGCTATGAGCAGCCAGGGCAGGGGCAGTGGGAACTGGGGAGGAGAAATGCTGGAGACAGGCAGTGTAGCTCCTCCATGCTACCCCTGGCTGGGGCCAAAGCCACTTTCGGCTCCTAGGTGCCGAAGAGGAGAAAGCCCCTTTATCCAACTTGCTGGGGCAGTATGGGTGCTAACAGACACCAGCAGAAGTCAGCAGCGTGTGGATGATGCTGGTGCGCAGGATAAGCGGTGTGTTGCATCTCAAGGGGTTAGGTATGAGGTTTCACCCAATACCATTAGAGGCAAGGGTCAGGGAAACAGAAAAGGAGGCCCTGGCACAGAGGAGCAGGAAGGGGAGGAAGGAAGTGGGTTGTGGAGTGACCGGAGGAGCACAAGGAGCCCTCACATGTGGGAAGTGACCAGCTGGTGGAAGGGACAAAGTGACAAGACTTCCTGGTTTGTCATAGAAATTGCCACTGACTCCTTTCTTCCTCTTCCCCTGCTTGTTCACATCTGCAGCTTTATTAGATTCAAAGGTCCCTAACATCTGCTTCCCTCCCCCTTGGTGATCAAGCCCTCCCTCTGCACAATGGAAAGGCCTCACTGGGATAAATGAAAGCCGTAGCTCCTTGCCAAGGTGCCACAGAAACAAGAGCTTCCAGATCAGTTTAAGCAAGAGTCAAGTAATGACTTCCCAGTTCTGATCGAGCACGATGTGTCACACACAGGGGGTAAAAAACTTGCAGCGCGGCAGACACGCAATCATTTACATCAACAGTAGCAAACAAAACACAGCCCTCAGCATTATGTCGGGTTGACATCAGACGTTGAAGCCTTAAAGGTATTTGTTTCAAAAATATGAAAGGGGATCAGCTGGCCCATCAATTCATTATAACATTAGATGATAAAAACTGTCCCCAGTTCTGTGGAGTAGGGCAGCACAAGTGGTTTACAATAGGCAAAGAGATGACAAAGACTCGTTGCAGGGTTTCACCTGCATGAGCACATGCGTGTAGATGTAGATAGCCAGGAGTCATCAATGGTCTGTTCATTGGATCACTGGATCAGCAGCTAAACTACTCAAATAACGCAAACTTTTCGTTCAGATGCTCAGCCACACAGGGCCACCTCCCAGAGAAGATACACAAGGGTTGCACATCTTCCCCCAGTGACGTTGCTATTTGTGATCAGCGTGAAGTATTTAACCTCGATGTAAAACTTACCACATTGATGGCAGCAAGGGGCAAAAAGCATTTGAAAATCATGTTCGCAGTACTTTCTCCCTTCAAACTGCAAATGGAAAAAAATCTCAGCATTAGAGGGGTGAGGAGCATGCCCTTAACATAAATGCTGTAACATACCAGTTTGTTTCCAGATGCAATTGGATGGTAAAATATAAGGGGCTGCACAAAAAAAGACCATGTGCTAGGCATTAAGTTTGCCCACCTTAATTCAGCTACTAGTTAGCATGTAGTGCTGATTGCACACCCTTCCTCTAGTACAGCTGAGAGTGTAAGACATTTTCCATCACCCATTTACATCACAAGAGACGTCTGAATTTTGACAGACTGCAGAAAGTTTGGTGCAACCAAGTGAATTCTGGGCAGGAAATTAGCTAACGAAAACCTTTCCTGGAGGGAAGCATTTTCCCTGAACCCGTTTGATCTCTTCTCTACTCTACACTTCCTGCAAGAATGACCCAGGATAACAGAGGAAGTGAGTACAAGGGAGGAAGGGACACAAATCTTTGCAATTTATGGAGCAGTACAGCCAAAACATAAAGGGAGATACAGGCTTTTCCTTCTTGGTTCTTATTTCATAGAAACATAGAATCATTTAGGTTGAAAAGGACCCTTAAGATCACCGCGTCCAAATTTTAAAGGAACAAAGTTCACGATGTCAACCAGATGAAATAGGGAACCAATCTTAAGGGATTTGGATTTGGATCTGAATTTTCTCACAGCTTAGAGAAGTTCAGCTGCAGTTCAAGATCATATAGAAAAAAAACATATGGGGAAAAAAAAAAGGTTGACAGCACTACATTAGCAACTTAGAGAATATGTAAAAACATGTAGGCAAGTATGTCCTAAAATGAGGGGGAATGTTTAGATACCTTCAGGCACATCATTACTAGATATACATGCCAACTAGCATGTCAAAACCAGACAGACAATATTAGGTATGCTATGAAATATTTGGATTTGAATGTCTAAGTTTAAAACACTGGAAAAAGGGCGATAGGAGACCCCATTCCTTTATTTTTGCTGGGTCTAATGCAAAACAAAGCCAACAGCAAAAAATAACTACCCACAAATTACGGTTTGGTGCACAGACAGAAAATACAGCAATGTGCTTCAAGATTACCTGTTTTATACTATGAAATCACAGGGATTAAATACAATATAAGTATAGTAACTACTTGTGCAATACACAGAGCCACTGGCAGGATGGCAATCTAATGAAATATTCTCAAAGTCACTGCATACTTGAGATCAGAAACTTTATTCCTGTGCCCAACATGAATTGCACCTAGTAGGAATAAAGACGCGTGCTCAATGCAGACTCCTTCAGAAGTCTCTGCTAGCAATTTATCAAGTGTTTTTCCAGTGTAATATTCTAAAACAGATTACTTGAATTGGAGCTTTTTTGAAAAAAAAAACAAACAAACAATTGAGAGACAAAGGGCTACTGCTTTCTCAAAGAGTAACAGAAATTATTGATTCATTGTGAATTGTGCCTGCTTCATGCTGGATAAAATCCTTTTTAAACTGAAAAAAATCTGAAAGGTTCCTGTTTTGTGTAAACAGGTGGTCCAATGGGAGATGCTTAGGTTTGCTTGGATTTCAGAGCCACCACGTGTTGATCTGGGCAGACCAAGCAGGTTTTCTTCCCCTCTGGTTTGCGTCAGGCAGGTTGGTTACCATTCAGTCTTGTTTATCTTTTCAACCTTCTCGCCCGTTTGTGCTGCCTTTCGTGGTTAACCCAGCAGTTCATCCGTCAGCGAAAGCCTTGAGCTTCTGTAACAGCTCCACAGCACATATTTTAAAAGCAAGGTCATTTGACTCCTGTATGCTGGACGTCCATGAGTTAAATGGCTCTGCATAGAACATTTCACTGTGACATAACCTCCAGCTGATCTCCACATTTTTAGCTAACTTAGTGGAAATACATGCACAAAAACTAAGTCTTTAAAGATCCTTTCTTTAAGGTAGTTTCTGGTGAAGTCTGTTTTAAGAAAACGCTCAAGGTGCCACTGGAATAGAAAAAACTCTTGACAAGCACATTCCAGCTGCACCTTCCTTTAATCTTCCGTAGGTTAGAAAAACCCCAAAACTGAAAGGAACTCTCTCTCATTTAGGACAAAAGTCATATGCCATTCCATTTTAATTTTTATTATTATTATAACAATAATAATAACAATACTACTACTAATAATAACGATACAGATTCCTCAGTTACAGCTCTTGTGAGTACTCTATAAGGACTTTGCTGTATTTCTTCTACTGTGGGATGCACCTCTCCAAGCTCTTCCATCTCCCCCACCTCAGCACAGCGTACAGCAGGTTGGGCTTCTGAAAGCACCCAGCAAGAGGCTCTTAACAAGCAGCTGGACCAAGGGTAGGACTCATCTCTCCTAACCTCTGCTGTCTGAAGGTGAGGTGCTCACACTTCCCAGTGGGAGAGGGGGGCAACCTCTAGGAGGGAGGAGCCATTCTTGGACCCAAGATTAACGTGGGTTGGAGGAAATGCTCGCTGACTGATTACAGTGGGGCCAACCTGTCCCTCTGGGCTCGCTGCCACCAAAGCTCTCCATTTAAGCCAGCTATTCTGCTACTATCAGTACAGGACTGAGTGCTCCTACCTGTTGAAAGACTCTACCACAGCAGCTCTAGGGAACACACAGCTTCCAGGCAGCAGAGTACGAGTGGACCAGAATTGCTACTATTTCATGTCTGACAGCCAAGCATGGTGAGTTCAGAAATTCTGCTGACATATGCTTGTGCTAATTTCTTTTTAGGTTAAGTGCATAAGAAAAAATCAAAAAGACGTGGAAAAGCTTAGATAAAATACCCTGGAAGCCCTTGTCTTCCCAGAATTACTTCTTTTTAGACCTCATCCCTAGTGCTACACTGTCCAACCTCCCAGCTGTGGAAGGGCACTGCTCTTCCACATGGCTCTTCCAATGGCTCAGCACTGATGCCCAAGCTCAATGAGCTGTGCTGATCAAGGTCCCTGCAGGCAGCCCAGAGACATGTCCCACAGTGCAAGAGACCTGCATCAGCATTTCTTCCCACACAGCAAAATCAGTTTAGCCCCCCCACCCCATGGAGCAGAGCATGAAAGCTTATCACAGCAGTGTTTGACAGCAAATGTGATAAGCAGCTTAATGACTAACTGGGGGAACTCCGCAAGGCTTCCAATAGGTAGGGGAAGAATGATTGACTTCCCCATTGCTAAGAGCTGGAAATCATTTCCAAGAAACACTGGCTTAGCTAAACCAGGCACAGAATAAACACAAACTCATGCAGGGTGACCTCCAACGCCTGTGTTTACCTACAGGCAACATGCTCAGAAAAACATTTACCTGGCCACACCTCCAAACACATCCATCTTCTCAAGGAGCACATGAAGCCAGTCAGAGGAAGCTATCCTTTCTGCCTGTCTTCTCCAGTCACTTTTTGTTGACAGTGACAGAGATCATCTCAAGTCCTCAGAGCCCTGTCAGCCATCTGCTGAGCATTGGCCAACTCTACCTGCTTAGGGCTGTCCCTCCCTCTCTCCCAAACGCTGTCACCCAGTTCATTCCCATCTCTTGGGCAGAAGTGCAAGAAGAGGAAGCTGTGCTCCTTTCTCCCTGAGCAGCACCACCAGAAAATATGTTGGGGTTTCCACTGCAATCATCTCACTCTGCACCTTTTCAGTGCTAAGTGAAAGCCATTCTGGCAGTGTGCATGGACACCCTAAAGGGTGCAGAGACAGAAGAGAACGCCCTGCCGTAGATTTCCTGGCTAAAACAGCCCAAAAGGCACAAGGGTTGGGACAGCACGGATGTCCACTGACCACTCTCTAGAAGATGCCCAGGACAGGCCAGTATAGAGGAAGGCTGGGTAAGATTTATGAGACATCACCTGAAAGCTGTCAGAAGGCTTAAACAGACCAAAAAATATCTCTCTTCAGTGCCAGCAGATAGACTTGTTGTTGCAGAGAGAAACTCTAAGATCTCATGGTGGACGCTAGAGAGGCTAGAGGCAGAAGGGTGACGTGAATTTCAAGCCACACACAAGTCTTTACGTATTCATTTAATCCTCACCACAATTATTTTACCTCTATAATAGCTGTGGCAAAAAGTGTCCATTCTTAACTGAAACTTTTCACTTTCTATTTAACATTTCTTAAGAACAAAGCCTCTACCCAGCCTGAAAAAAACCCTAGCAACATTAACTAAAGCATGTTTAGTACACAAGGCTATTTTCATTCCCAGGCCAATCTGTCGACACTCACTTCTGTCTTACTGTCTTTAGCAGGGAGCATCACTTTGCGGTAAGAGAGTGCTCAGAGACCAGTACAAATATAAATGTTAACAAGGTAGCAGCAGAAAACAAAATGCCGGCATCCAATATATCTAAACACCACCACGGTACTTGCCCCTGCCAAGGACATTCAGATATGGCCATCGTGAGCAACAGAGACGTTGTAATATTCCTGGATTAGGTGCAAACGTAAGACTTTCTTTCCACTGCGGTCCTCCTCCACCCTCCAAGACATACAAGCTGCCCGGAGCAGGATTTCTCAAACTTTTATCTCAAACAAAGCACCATTCAACTTTCTGAAAGAGGTCCCTGGATTGTCCCACTGTTTTTTGAGTCAGAAAAAGGATGAATAAAGTACTCATTATGTAGAGAAAATATATTTTATTGGTTTAAGACAATTTTATTAGCACAGTTACATATATTTTAGTTTTAAAACATTTGTATTACTTGATGCTTGCCTCGGGTCTTAACACATCAGGACTCCTTAACATGCCTGCAAGCAGGCAGCAGCTCAGTATTATATTAATAATTGTAATGTAATCTGTTAGTATCTAGGGGGTGTTTTTTTTGTTGTTTTTTTTTTT